TGAAAAAATACCATCAGACCAATATTTTCCTGACAAAAAGCGCCCATTGACAAAGCTACTGTTGCTTGTTGTGCATGGTTTTATTTTGCTGGCAAAGAGTGGCTACATGGGAAATCTTACAGCTCTTATAAGGCAGGGCTACTCAACTTTGGATGCCCAGGGATCCACAATGATACTCACAGCACATGCCAAGGGCCACAACTTAAATGTGGTTACATATACATGCAAATATATGCAAATAGCTTATTTCACACTGATGGGTATGAATACAAAGATTAAGCCTTGGCGCCGGACCCAAAGATGGCCCGTGTGAGCAAGTCAGCACCTCTTAGGCTCTGTCCACAAGGCTAAGCAGCTAACACTTTCCACAATGCTCCAGCGATCCTGGCACCTCCTCCCTGGGGGCTGGAAATGCCAACACTCTACACCCATCTGTTCCAGCCAGTCCGTCTGCTTGTGTCTTTCAATGCTCACCCAGCCTGGGAGATGCCTTGCCATGGTGGAGCGTGTTCCCAGTGGAGGCCATATTCAGAGGATCCCACCCACGGGCCACATGTTGAGCCCGGCTTAAAGCCAAACAACACTACGGGCCACAAACAAACGGGCCATCGAATGTTGAGTAGCCCAGCTGTAAGAAGTGAATCAGGTCCATCATGTACATAGTATTCAAAATATAACACATATTTTGTGTTTACATCTATATCTATTCATGCACATATTATGTAATCTATAACTCATTGGCAGTTTGCTATTTTCAGAAAACATTCAGTTTGTTGATGGACTTTATGATGTCATTATTTAACAATATTCTGACTTTTTCAATATCTGTAAGGTTTGTTTTATGTCTTAAGTCATGAAAACTCAAGTAGTTTCTATGCTAATTTTCCTCATTGAATAATGTATATGCTTTCTTCATATGCACTAAATAATCAAAATAACTCCAAACCTAGATATATATTTGGAGATTAATAATTTGACTTCAGTAGCTATATAGTGGTTCTTAACTTAAAGGGACATTGCAATCTTAAAAATTCTTTTAATTTTACTAATGGCATATTGTTAAAATTGCTTTTTTTATTATTTAAAATTGATAGTGAGCCTTTAATACCAAAACAAAGTGTTGCCCCAAAACTACATTTCCCAGAACGTATAGTCCCTAAGGCTAGTATACACCAAACATTAAAAATCTTAAAAAGGGCGTAATCAAGTATTTCACATTGGTTTTAATGAAAGCCACATATTTAAAATTTGACATGGCTTACAGTTTTGGCCCTGGAGAAAGAATGAGTGGGAAAGACAGTATTTTTGACATTTTGAAAAGCAGAAAACAAAACCCAGTTTAGAAATGCTACTGACACCAAATACTTATGGTATCACTCAATTGTTTTACTCGTATCAGGTGTGAAGCTTTGCTGCCTTTTATAATGGAAGTAGGAAAGTATCTGCAGTGGTTTTTTGAAGGCAAGGAATGACATAATTGACCAAAGCAGATTGAGAGTCTCCAGTCTTTAAATATCACCTGTATGCAATGTTATGTGAATAAAGTAATTTCTTTTGTATGCACAGATGTTTTTCCAAGATTGTGTTAAGGGCAATATAATCTGCATACATAATACATTTTTGCAAGAACATCTGAAAATAACTGTAAATAATAAATGTACACTATAGTGTAAAACTGGTTGCAAAAATGTAATAAATAATTGAAAATGGTGTATTGAGAATAAAGTACATACAAAAATTAAGGAGGGAAGAACCTGATCTTTCTTAGATAGTTTGGCTAGTTATAATAGAATAGTATATGAGAGAATAAGGCAATTTCAAAGATTTAATCAAGTGTTTTTGCCAGTATGGAGCTATCAACTAAATAAGATAGAAGTTAGAAAAAATCAGGTTTTGTTTTTTTTCATTAAAAATGTTACTACTGTCTAACACTGAGGATATAAACTTAGGCTGTGTCTAGACTGACAAGTTTTTCTGCAAAAGCCGTTGCTTTTGCGGAAAAACTTGCCAGCTGTCTATACTGGCCGCTTGAATTTCCGCAAGAACACTGACGATCTCATGTAAGAAATCAGTGCTTCTTGCGGAACTACTATGCTGCTCCCGTTCGGGCCAGTGTAGACAGCTAAGATTTGTTTTGTGCAAAAAAGCCCCAATCATGACGTGTCTAGATTGGCACAGATGCTTTTCCGAAAAAGTGTTTTTGCGGAAAAGCGTCCGTACCAATCTAGATATGCTTTTGCGCAAATGCTTTTAACAGAAAACTTTTCCGTTAAAAGCATTTGCGGAAAATCAAGCCAGTCTAGACGTAGCCTTTGTGTTACAGGATGGTAACGTGCTTTACTGATTTATCAAGGGGCTCCTACAAAACATTTCCATGTAGCATGGCATTGACATGCTATTGTACCAGGGGTGTCAATATTTGCAGAGAGGAAGGTTGAGAGACTGGGATAGTTATTCATCTGATCAATATAAAATAAAAGCTTTAATTTTTTTTAGTTTAAATAACTAAAGGGACAGAGAATGCCACTGTGCAAAAATCGTAGCTAGGACTACCAACTTTCTACTTATGCAAAACTGAACACCCTGACCATGCCCCACAATCTTCTCTAAGACTCTGCCCCTGCTCACTCCCATCCTCCCTCCCTCTGTTGCTTACTCTCCCCAGCCTCTCACTCACTCACTGAGCGGGCTCAGAGTATTGGAGTGCAGGAGAGAGTGAGGCTTCTGGGCTGGAGGGTAAAGTATTTGGGGACTCCAGGCAGAGGCAGGCTGTTGAGATGTGGGAGGCACTGGCTGGGCTGACGATGTAGATTCTGAGGTGGGGCCAGAAATGAGGGACTCAGGGCATAGGAAGAGGCTCTGGCTGAGTGCAGACACTGGGGTTGGGGGGTATAGGGTGCAGGAGGGTGCTGCAGGCTGGGACTAAGGGGTTTGGAGGGTGGAAGAGGTATCAGAGCTGGGGCAGGGAATTGAGGACAGAGGAATTGAGTCTCTGCTGTCAGTCATTTCCAGTAGGGACGATTTATCCAACAGGTGGAGCAGAGGTGAGGGTCACAAACTGGTAAATCACCCTCTGTCCTTTGATATGGAGGCAGAATTTGAAGGCAGGTCAGAGGTCACCTGCAAATTACTGAACTAGAGCATCTCAGTGGTAGTGCAGCCTTTGCTTTGAAGTGATCCCTTCTAGACTGTGTTAGCAGAAAATAAACACGAATATAAAATGCTGTAGCCAAGTGGGGCAATCAGTGAATGAAGTCACCCCTGCCAGTAGAGATTTCCATTGTCCTGAGTTAGCTAAACAGAAAGATCAGGCTGCCATACCAGGAACCTTTTTCCCATTAGCCCAACTTTGCTCTTGGGGTATGCCCATACTCCAAAGGAGCATGTGCCTGCTACCTCAAATAGACACGTTACCTCTACTTTAACAAATATACAGTAGTGTTGCCACTTGAGTACAAAACCATCTGGAACTCCTGAGGATCTACTCAGGCAGCTGGCACCTGTGCTGCTATTTTTAGTATGTTAGCTTGAGCAGACCTAGTGCAGCTACCTCCTGCAGCTGAGGAGTTTGCACCCATAAACCTTAACCACAGCTGTACTTTCCTAGTAGTCAGAAAGGGTGTATCTTCCATAAATGTACCGAAGAGTCTAGCCGATCTTCTCCGTTAGTGTAGCATTCACCTTACCTTGTATGAAACCACAGTGGTTCCAGTCATCCAGCTGCCTGAGACCTAACAGCCATAGATTAGTAGCAATGCTATTTATATTAGGAATGTTCTCCTCCCTAATCTTTTGCAGAAATAATGCCACAACATGACACAGAGCTAGCTACTAAATTTAGATTAGGAATACCAAATAGTACAATTGGTTGAAGAGTCCTCAGCCCACTGCTTGGTGGAAATCCCCCAGTTTTGACTTTATTAACAAGGGAAGATTTTGGCCCAGACTTACAACTAGTATTTGCAAAACAGGAAATATTGCCTGATTCAAATTTTGTCTGATCAGTGTGAACAGACTAAAGTGAGTTTGCCATATAAACTGAGCAAAGTGGTAATCTGCTATGAACTGTGACTTCTGTATTCAAATGATGGCCACTTCATTATCACTCAGAACAGGTCTGTGCGTCATATCTATGCACTTTGCTTTTTGCTACTCTTTACACAAAGTAGCACTGCAAACAAAACAGCTGTGGGCAACGTACCATGTCTCATGCTGCAACACAATTATTTAAATTTCTCTAGCAGAACTAAATTCTTATTTACAGCCAAGCAAATCCCGCTAAAGGAAAGAATGTAATTGAAGTCAGAATTTGGCCTATTTAATCCATACTGAATCTTTGTGATTATGAACTAGGAAAGAACCCAGCATAGCTTTCTAATGCCAGGTGGAAGAAGGGGGGAGTCAAAGAAGATACTGAGACTTAAACAGACATGATATAACGAAGGCTATGTCTAGACTATACGCTTTCGAAAGACGCTTTTTCAAAATAATCTTTTGAAAAAGATTCGTTCAAAAGAGATAGTCTAGACAGCTACCACTTTTTTCAAAAACGCAATCCGCGTTTTCGAAAGAGAGCACCCAGGCAATCTGGATGCTCTCTTTTGAAAAAGCCCTGTTTGTATTCAAGAATGTAAAATGAAGTTTACTGCTGACGAAAAAACCACCAGGTTCTTTCAATTTAATTTTGAAAGAATGCAGCAACAGTTTAGATGCAAGTGAAGTTTTTTTGAAAAAAGGCCACTTTAAAAAAAACCAAAAACCTGTAGTCTAGACATAGGTGAAGAGACTTTCTGGAAGTATGAATGCTTTAAATAGGTACTTTCTTGCTGATCTTGAATAAGACTATTCAGGAGGGCCCTGGCCCATGATCACACTGATTTCACATTTTCCTCATCCACCCAATTGTCTTGGGTGTATTACATTTAACTAATCAACCATGCCATTTAGTGTGTATTGGTTTAAAAAAAATGGTTAGAAAAAGGAAGATGGAACAAAAATACTGTCTGAATATTTTATAATTTACTTTAATAAGGGCAAAGATAACATACTGAAATAAAATCCACTGTGAAATCATACAAGTGATCATAACAATAAGTTTTACTTCTACTATTAAAGAGGAGCATATATTGGACCCTGTTATTACATGAAATCACCATGAAGAAGTTGCTTTCCTTGCTGTAGAACTATGTATGAGTAGTAGATGAAATTGTATTATTCATGAGAAAAAAAAAGCCAAGTAGCAAATGCTATGCCCACTTGGGATTTTTGTCTTAATGAACAAAGTGTGGCTATACTCTTTGGAATAGAAGTGAGATGGACTAAATTAAAACTGCCCCTAGGATTGATGCCACTTAAATATGGAATTGGAAAGCCTGATAAAAAAATTCTGGCAGATTGTTTTAAACCTAGATGAAATGAATCATCCATCAATTTTAGCATTTCCTGTAAATTAACAGGTTTTTGTACAACAATGTACGGCAAGCCATTTGAATGCTAGTTTCTTTAAAAAAAATATCAAAAGATGACTTGTAAACAGTTAGCAATTTTCCAAATAAAAATACTAGTACACAAATGAGTATATTCATTCCATTTCTTTACAACATGAAGACATATTGGCAATAGGTCTAAACCTGCACAAAAACTGTTTACTATTTCAGTCTTTAACAGCAGGATATGCAAATAATTAGTTGGCTACAGATCTGCAAATTTACTTCCATGTTACTATAATGCAAATACAATTAACAAGGATCCAAAAAGGTGGAATACATTTCAGTATCAAAAATATTCAGCAAAATCATTCTCAAATTATGTTTAGTAGTATACTTGTGACACTATAGAGATAGGTATAAGAAGCACAGAATTACATACGACACAGCTCATTGGCAAAATGTATACATACAGATGCACACAACAGAACAACAAGACTTTAAAAGTGTCTTGTTTGGCATGAGAAAAATATTTCCATAAATTCCTAACCATAGAGCAATCTCAATTAATTACAGGAAATCTCCAATTCAAACATTGACATGAGCATAATTTCAAATTTAAACCCTGCTAGGCTTGTAAGGATTCAGAACCTACACTACCTGTCTGTTCCAAAACTTGGGACTAAAAAAAAAACAAAACCAGGTTGATTGTGGTTACTTCTCTGAGAGATGCACTGCTGAAAAATCCTAGCAAGGGATTGCTCAAGATAGGATTTAAGTCAGACATTTGTATTTTCTTAAGGGATTTTTTTTACATCAAAATGGAACAGGTTGATTAATTTGAGGGGCAACCGGCAGTCAATTTTTACGAAGTAGCTGAGAGCTTGAAAGCTTTCAAACTGAAAGAAAAATGAACTCTATGAAGACTCACAATAGTCCCTTAAAGATTTTTTGTTGATGTTGTTTTTGCTGTCTGCATGCTGATTAGCAAAGAGGGTCTCAACTTTTACTGAAAACGTATAATCAAATCCACAAATAAATCCTTAGAAGAGCAAGTTGTAACAGACTATCTCAAAATCTACTGAAACAAGTTATTAGGCAAAAGCTCCCTAGACTTGTTACAAGTTGTGTTTTTAGTGGAAAATTGAACTAGCATCTCCAAGCAGCTAAAATTCCTCTGAGTATGTCACCACTTTGATGGTCACATGAAATACTATATTAGATTAAGAACCAGGATGTCTGTTATTCTACTCATGTATGCAGTCTGAATACATATAAAAATGATCTGTGCTTGCAACAGTTACAAGCAAAAAGTTTGTGCATAATAGGATACTTGTCTGGAATTATGCATGTAAGATATAAAGAGTATGCTTCTGAAAAATAACTAAAAATGAAAAAAGTCTTTATTGCTCCCAACTGTGCACGAAAATCAAAACATTTATTCAAAGAGGATGTCTTAATAGGCAGAAAGATGGGGCAAGCCTGCTACAGATTAAATTCACAGCAGGTTCAGTTAATTTCTTCTCAACAGAAGACTTCACAGGTCGGAGTCTATATCCTTCAGCAGCCTACTGCTCAGATTGCCATGGCACACTGCAAAAACTAGAAGGAAAAAAAAAAAATCAAGGTCACTAACTTAGCACACCACCACATTTGGAAATGTAATCAGTAACTGGAATACTACAAATTCTCAGGTCATCTAAAGAGTTCAGGAATTTTCGGTCTTGGTTTTGCCAGATTTTTTTTTTTTTGAGAAGGGAAGAGGGGTAAATGGGGTTGTGGTGAAGGGGGAGATGAAGAGAACAATAAATGCTTAGAAGGAAGTGTGAAAACACAAGTTGGGACTTGTCTACTAGATGAAAAAAGGCTTAGAAGTGTTCAAAGGATTACAAAAGAAATAAAGCGTAAAGAGATTTGTTTTTATCTTCAACATTTAAAAGTCCGTGCCATAGGTAACAGATGACTGTTACAATCTAAGGGTGATTCTACAAATACTTCCTACTGGTTGGTAAGTCCAATTAAGACAATGAATTTACTCTGAGGCTACGTATACAGTGCAGGGTTTTTGTGCAAGAAGTCTTTTGCGGAAGAGTTCTTGCACAAAAACTTCTTGCACAAAACCACATCCACACCTCAAATATCCATCAGAGACCTGTGCTTTTTCAGATAGGCTCCTTTTGCGCAAGAAACCCCTGCAGAGAGTCCCCACATGCCTTTTTGCGCAAGAGCTGTAGCGCAAAAAGAAGTTATTCCTTGTAGAAGGACATATACCTACCCCGCAAAAAGCCCTCTGGTTCTGTCGACTTTCTTGCACAAAAACAAGCTTGAGGTGTGGATGCTCCACAGGTTTTTGCGCAAAAACCTGATCCCTGGCTCCTAATGCGCTGTCCCTTTGACATGCTAGATTGGCGCTTCAAAGGGGCAGTGCAGTATTAACATCTGCGATTAACATGTTAAAAAAATTAACCCATTAATCCTTCCCTGTGTTAATCGAAGGTGCTAACGCACATCAATTGACAGCTGTAAATGCAACCAGAGAGTATTATAAAAAGAAACATTTCTGATACGACTAAACACATAATAGAAGATTAGGTTTTAAAGTCAAATTTAAACATGCAGCTCTAGTCAGTCATTTTCAACAAAGATTTTCATATAGTTCTGACAAATTTGAGTATTTTGTCTACCGATACTTACATCATCATATACAAAATTCACGTATCCCTGTTGCATGTTGTCTCGTCTCCTGAAAAAATCTTATAAAAAACCATAAAGTAAGTAAACTGGAGCTTTGCAAAAAGCTCCCAAGTATTTAATGTAGACACTAAATATAATTTTGGTTGGAAGTAGTATACTTTGTCAAGTATTTCTCATTTTTTTCAAGGCAAATTTGTCACTTTTGAACCAATTAAACACTTCATTTATTTCCTTTAACATTCTATCTAAATTACAGTACAGGTTGAACCTCTCTAATCCAGAACTCTCTCGTCCAGAAACATCCATCATCAGAATGATTTTAGCTAGCCAGATGTCCACTTTAAGGGAGAGACCAAGTTTCCCGCCATCCCATAATGTTTGTTTACAGCCACTAGTCATAGCTCTCAGTGTTCTGTGCTGTTATTTAAGTTCTAATTTACCCCTAAATTCCCTTCAACACCACAGTAGGCAGTGGAAGTGTTGGTAATACTGCTAGATAATATTGACTTTCCATGGTCCAGAAAATTCTCTCAATCGGAACCAGTCAGGTCCTGAGGGCGCCAGACTAGAGAGGCTCAATCTGTAGAAAAGTAAAATGACTCTCTCGGATATCCTGAATACCAAACAACTGTTACTCAAAATACAGAAGACATTTATACACAAAATAAAGCGTTACAAATATCTTAGAATTGTAAGAGATTTAAGCACAACTTGATATACAATCTTTGCTCTGTGATTACAATTTTTAGATGAGGAAAATATAGAATGAACGCTGAAGTTCAGAATTTAGAATGAACTCTATTTCAAAAACTACAAAATCTCCATACCTGTCAATGCCCGTAGTTTCACACAGCAAGCCACATAGTCATCAAAAAAGATTCTGCCGTTCTTGCTATAACGTTTTACAATAGCAGTCAGCGTTTGAGGGCTTAATCTGTAACCTAGAAGACCAAAAAATAGGAAGTTGTAGCCAGTATGTCAGTTTTGCAACAGATTGTTGGATCATCTTTGGAAAATACAGACTACAGAAATAAGTTACCATACATCCTGCATTATAGACAAAAGGTCATAATGAAAAAAGTGTTCATATACAGTAGTGGAAAAGTTCAAATTTTCCTGACATTAGAACAATTCCATTTTACATCATGCACCCAACCTGAAATGTATTTGAAAGGATGACTTCAGGCATTATCAAGAACACTCAAAACATTTAATCTTTCACTTAGGGCAAAAATGAAGTAAATAAACATACTAAATAGAGATGCTAGTTCTGAATAATCAGGTCAGCCTTGACTTTTTTTCATGATCTTAGCACAAGTAGCCAGAGGGTAGCTCGTGGACAAGGCTAAGCAGTAGAAGAAGGTTTAGTATTCTGTTCATCTGTCAATTGCTTTATTTAGTACAGTGTTTCTCAAAGTAGTCCACAAAACCACTTTGAGAAACCTTCGCCGGTTTGTTTATTTACTGGCACTGCAGCCATGGAGCCTTGTGGCTACTATTGGCTCCGTTTTGCCATTTGCAACTAAGGAGAGCCACGGGAAACGGCAGCCTGGCCCACACCACTTCCTGAAGCTCCCCTTGGCTGCGAACAGCAAAACAGAGCAAACATGAGGCTCCATGGTCACAGCGCCGGCAAATAAACAGGAGCAACCAGTTAATAGGTTTCTCAAAGTGGTTTTGCAGTACACTTTGAGAAACATGGATTTAGAATATACTCTGCAACAGAGAAGCTTATCTGAACTCATAGCCTTTTACAAGTGAGAGTGCAGCATATATAGACAGCATGACTCTCCACTATACAAAGAGCAGTTTGTGTTTTAATGCTGCTTTGACAGGTTGAAGAGAAAAGGGAAATTAGCAACACACACAAAGGCAAATGAAGAAAAGGTGAGGACTACAAAACCAGTCTGCCAGAAGCATTGTGAACATGAAATACTGCATCACCTGCATTTAATTGTTACAAGAATAATACAGGATGCTCTAGATGCCCTCTCATAACTTCAGAAAACACAGAGACTCAGATGAAGGAGAGGGGGGGAAATAATCTTATTTAGATATTTCACATTTTCTAAATTGCATACACTTCAGAAACATAGATGAGACAGCACAGGACACAAGAAAATTGCCATAGATAGCTGTGTAGATGTAGGGGCATGGTCTTCAGCTATGCAAAGTAACTCACCCATATTGAATTTCAGTATGGGTGAGGTACCTACTGGCATTGCTGAAGACCATGTCCCTACATCTACGATGCTGTATGACAATACCTGAGCTGCAATCATATCACCTAGTACTGAGCTCATTTTTCAACTAACATGATTCAAGAGAGTAACTAGGAAGCTAACCTTCACCTTCTACCTCTATTTAGTTATTAACTTAGAGTCAGCTAATGGCTGCAGCCCAGAGACTTATGGGTAGATTGTGTATGGGATAGCCCACATACAACATAACTATTGCTCCAAATACCAAAAGCACTTTGATTCACAAAATCATTAGTCCTTCCCCCTCAAGAGGGAAATGGAAATATCTGACTATACATCAGGGTTCCAGAAATGCAGTTTAACAGAAAGCATTTTTATGCTGGTTCAATTTCTGGCACTGGTTCCTGATTTATTATTGTTGATTAGCAACAGCTATGAAAGTTTCATATAACTTTAAATGGGGTTTTCTAGAATATAGATGAAGAGCAACTTTTAGTCACTATAATGACCTGCCATCAAAGGGAAGCACACAGGCTTGTTTACATCCGCCCTATAAGATGGTCTAGACTCTAGAGTCATCACTGCTTGTGTGTATCTTTATATTCTGGTGAAATGTTGTACCCTCAAAACAAATTGGGCTACCCATGACTCTCCAGGGGCAGAATATACTGAAAGTCTTCCTTTTCCTCCTGTACCCCAAATGGATGCAGCCCTGTGTAGGCCAATATCAAGAAATGCTGCATGTAAACTTGTGAAAATGAACACTGTTGAGTACTAAATATGGCATTTGTTTTAAGAGGTCTCTTCTCAATATTCAAAAATGTGTGTCCAGATGACCTATCTTTCCATCTGAAGATAACTGTATATCAGCACTCTGGGATAGCCAAAGAGTGGAAAAAATACTTAGTTAATATCAAGGAGTTCCAGGAACAAAGTATAGCACCTGTACAACACTGCTGACAAGCCCCATGCTTTGATCCACAGGTAGCAACTCCCTCCACTGCAAACTTCCATACTCTACTTGCTGCATCCTTATAATTAAACCAGTAATATATCGCATTAAACAGAACTGACAGGAGGTTGCAGAAGTTTTTCAAATGCTGTCTTACCCATAGCTGTAATGACCTGACTCAGTTCATGAAGATCCACAGTTCCACTTCGGTCTTGATCAATCATCATGAAATTTTGCTTCCAAGCATTAAGAGCTGCCCAGAGTTCTTTGAATTCATTAAATCCCATTTTTCCTGTATAATCTCTCTGAGGTAGTTTTGTTAAGTTATTTTTGTTAATACATTAAAATTAACTAACTTAACAGCACATACCAAATTATTGAGGCAGTTTGACTTCTAACCACACTGACAACACTAAAACAATCAATTTCAGTGAAATATTAAAAATGAATGGAGCCCAAGGACAGTGTTCTAAAACAGGTTAAAATGTTTTGAAAACCTAGTTTTTTCTCAGAATGTATCAGTTTAAACTGACATTAAGATTACGTTACAGGCTAGATTTTCTGAAGGATACATCCATCATGGAGATCATAATTCTGCAGGTTTCCAAACTGAATGCTGAAAAATACAATCAATGATTGAATCAAAAGTACATTAATTTTACTTGTGTAATTTCTAGTAACTAGTGCAGTTTCAGTGACAATAGTCAACACGGGTTAATTTGCTTTTGCAAGAAATTTTGAAAGCTCACCAGGAAAAACAAAATCAGGCAGGAGATGGCTGAAAGGACATGAAGATATCTGCTTCTACATTAGTAGTCATTTAGGCCAAGAATCAGATGTGGACAAAATGCAGGACATAAGATTGTTTTTTATCATTCACTGAGCCAGTTTGTGATCCAACTCATGTTCTTACTGATACTGAATTAATACTCTTCATTATGGAGAACAAGGATTAAACAGACCATGGAAACAAAGTAACAATCTCAACTTAATATCTCAAAGTGAAGCCACATTTGGCAGGCCAGTGTAGGAAAACTTGCTCTACTACTAGGCTATTTGTGTCAAATTCACAGTAATACTTTAAGAACAGTAAGAGTTGGTATCAAAATCAAAGATATGATCCAGTCTTGAGAGGATAGGAGCACACACCAAAGCCCAGGCCCCGCAGTTGCAACTGTTTTCATACTCTGTTGTGTTAAGAGCAAATGCATGAGAGAAAGTCAAAATAAAATGCTCTGGAAGTGCTGTGCACAAGTAGCACAAATGGTGAGCTTTGAATTGGCATTAGCGGGGCTGTGGCATTTATTTAAGGTGTATTGAAGGGACACATGCCTACACCAAGTGAAAAGCTGTGATAAAAAGGAAATGAAAGAGGGATGAAAAGAGAGGGAATGCTCCTTGAAAAATAGAAATTCCAAAATATCACCCACAGATTAAAAAAAAGAGCATGCAGTAGCAATACAAAGTCTTACGAGAATAGTTTCCACTGATTCCAGACTGTGTTAAGCATCTCTGTAGCTCCTCTGCATCCACTTCACCATCCTGTAGAAAAAAGTGCAGAGAGTTGTGGTCATGGACACTTATCAATACAAAATCAAGCAAAGATTATTCACTGATGCTTCATTTAACTGAAGACAAATGAATTAATTCATTATGCTATAACTATGTAAAGGTATTTAATATTTAAAAATTAAAAATACAATAGAATTGTGTCTTATCTAAATCAAGAATCTGCAGCACTAAAGTTAAACAGAATTCCTTGTTTATAGCAATTAATTGGAATCCATTTCTATCTTAACATAAAATACCTATTCAAAATGAGCCATGAAATTAGTGACATCATCTGATAATTAGTATAAAATTTTCATATGAAGCTAGACCATTTTACCAATTAATTGGTTAAGATGTTTTCTGAGCTTATTAATACAAACAAAATAGAAATAAGAGAATTCTAGGTGTAAGAGCCTCCGTTCTGAACCAAATAATTAAACAGATCCTTTTCTTTTGCCCATCACATCTCATATTATATTTCATGGGTTCCCTGCAATTCTGCTACTTTTCCTTTTGGTTGATGCACACAATAAAACTGACATTCTGTTTTATGGTCAAAGAACCCATGGTGCTATTAAAAACAGGGATATTATTTTCAGGGCCCTGATAAAATATAACTAAATCCTTCTACATTTCAGTTGGATACATATTCCTCATTCATAGTGCTAGACTATTGTACAGTGTTGCTGTGCAGGTTTAAACAGATTACAGAGGTTTCCCTTTTTTTAGAAGAATACCAACTTTAAAAACTGAAAAGATGAAGAATAAAAAAGAGTGGCCACGTTCCACACTGAAGGCAGTAATAGTATTTCAGTAATGGGACAAGTGATTCCAAAAATAATAGAGTCAACTGTGCTGCACAGTGCTCTAGATTCCTTTAAGTTAAAGGCAATGAAGAGGGTTATAATGTCATCCAGTGATTGGCTTTTTAACATACATGCCATGTGACTATAGCAGAGGTGTTTTTTTTTTCCTGTCAGCCAAGTATCACTTTGTCTGTTCCCTCTTGTCTTCTTTGCTCTGTTCTTAACATTCTGTCCTCTAAGCATCTCCACAGAGCACTTCAAAAGAAGGATATTAAAATAACCCCCAAAGCTTGCTTATTTCACTGCCAGGACTGCTTATAGCTGAAGTACAGAGATGCAATAAGAGAACATAAAATAGTGAATGTGAAAGCTAAACATCCCATATAGACATGTGCAGATCAGCCCTCTGAACACCCAAAAGTAAAAGGCAACACAAGATCTCCAAACTTCCACATCAGATCTTCTAAAAAGGAAATTCCAAAAACCAAGATCAAGAAGCACAAATGAGATGACAAAACACATGATAATTGACTTTAACCAAGATTATCTAGACTTCACTGGGAACTTTGTAAAAAGGTATAATCAGCTTGGCCTCCACTCTGTCATGAGCTAAAAACTTATGGCAGTAAGCTGTATTTTGTTGCTAGTAGGTATAAAATGTCTGACACATGGAGCAGATCTTATATCAGGTGAAATGACATCTGACAGGTAAACAGAACTTTTCACTGTACTTAAGTATACATACATTAAGTTTTGGAAGAGCCACATTACAGTTCTACTATATTATGTCTGGCCAACAAACAGTTAAATAAAGATATCCAGCATGCAAGTCACTTTTTAAAACTGCTACTCTATCTTACACTAATGGTAAACTTCAGTTTTATAAAACAAATAAAATCAAACATGAGCTGCAAAATAGGAAGAACCAATTTTTGGTGAGCTTGTCCCATGAATAGATAGAAGTTAAATCTGAGATAATATTGTAAAACCCATTCTTCTTGTTCCTTGCCCTGCCATTCTTTATACTGCTTTAATGGTAAAGCCACAAGGATAGCACATTCAGAGAAACTCCCAGAAGCAAAGCAAAAATTACCCCATCTTGATAAGACTGATCTTGTTCCCGCTTAGATCACTGGATTTTATGCAGGAGCAGAGGTGACATTCTTATCTTGAATGGAGTGGGAAAAGAAAGAGGCGTTCCATTTGCAGCTCTCCATGGAGGACTGAATTTCACCCATCACTGTGTTACAGCAGGAGCTAGTAACACTGTGTAGACAGTACAACTAATCACATACTCTTCATCAATCCCATCTGCCTGACTGAGGAACAACACTGGCAGGCTCTAAAGTAAAAATGATCAACTCTATGAAGGTGAAAGAATTTCCACAGTATGGAGCCTTTCCACCCACCTGGAAAGGTTTTTTTTCAATGGGTAAGCTCACACAAAAAAAGAAGAGTGAAGAAAAAGGGAACCGAATAGCTTAAAATTTTAGTGAGGAGAATATTATATTTCTGAATCTCATTTACTAGTCATTAATTATACAATAAAAGTCAGAAATACAATTTTCCCCCTTTTGCCCTCCCTCCAAAAAAGCAATTCATCCCCATGTTTCTGTGAATTTCTACCTGCTCAGTTCTTTGAGAGTCAAGGCCAGCGCTTCCATCACCCCACTGGTCTTGCTACATGGTAGATGACAGATTGTGGTTATGTGCCTCGTACTTCAGGAGTGAATGTGCATTCCCCCTACAAAAAACTAAATTTACTATAATATTATATTTGAAAATTTAAAAGAAAAAGAAAAACCCTCCAAGAGTCAGCAAGTGCTCAGTTAAGATTGCAAAAAGAGCTCACAAAAACTGCAACTCTGCCCCTTAAGCACAACTTACAGTAAGGGCTTTTGTTACATAGTTACACAAATGTACATGCATTCAAGGAAGACAGACCAATATGTTTCAAGGTTTGTCATATTGCAAAGCATACTGCACTTGAAACAAAGATGTGGAAAAGAGTGGACAACAAAAGACCTCTGTTAGATGCAATCTACTTTTATTGACAGATGTAAAATTTCAATAGATTTAGAACAGAATTGATTTTGACAGAAAAAACAATGCAAGTTTGCACATATTTGCTATAAAATTCACTCACTATTCCTTGGTAGACAACTGAATGAACTAAGCTATTTCAGAATTATCAGAGACAGACACCAAACCGTAGGAATGTGTCAAATCTATTGAGTTCCATAGTTCAGAACTAGCTCATCCAATAATCATGAAACTTGAAAGACTCTATTTTTAGGCTAATGCTATCCAAGAGACACTTGAGCTTAACACATTTGAGTAAATTAAAATGTGAAAACAAGGGAAAATGAAATGACTCCTGCAAACTTTGCTAGGAGGTATTAATAATTTCATAATAAAGCATGCTACCAGGAGGCAAGCAGGTGGCTCGTATGTAGTTCAACCAGATTCTAACAATGCTTATTTATGGAATACACTCATCCATCAACCTCTCTATTTTGGAGTCTGACCATTCTGTTTAGGGACTAAGTGTGATCTTTGCCTCTTCTGAGGCATTCAAGATACAAAATTGACTATTACGTCTATAAACCGAAGTCTTGATTTAATCTAATTTAAATTCACTCTAACATGCTGGAGGACAGTAACGATAATACTATTGATATGCTTGACTGACAAAACAATAAATGATCTTTTGCAAAAGTTACTTATGGAGGCAGATTCCTGAAAAGTAGAATGACGTCATCGTTACACTAAAAGTTTAAAACAAATTGAACTCTGGACAATTTCATGTTAGTGTGTCAGGATAAAGGGAAACCCACAAGTCTAGGAATGGAGGAGACTTTTAATTCTGAGTTTCTCACCTTATAATCCACTTAGCTGCATAACTAAACTGGAAACTGAAAAACACACTATCCACTCTAAAATTAAGCAATGACCTTTTCTCCTTCATTCTTTAGGTTTTGTGCATTTCTTTTGGTACTCTCATAGTGTCACTGTAAGGAAACAGCCTAACCAGAAGAGAGGAATGTCCAGTCCCTCTTTCTTTTTCTCCTCTCCCCTAACCCCTTTTAGGGGAGAAGAAGAGAGCAAACTAGCATATTCTTTTTTTAACCTTTTCCTTTCTTCCTTGCACTACCCCCACCATTACTCACTGAGAAATAAAATGCTGGTGCTTCTTCTAATCTGTTTATGCCTTCTCACATTGTCTCCCACAGTTTTGGGCTTCTGCCTGGGATCATGTATCATGTCTCTGAAACAGTATGGCCATGGCTACACTAGAAAATTATTTCAAATTTAGTAAAGTTTGACTTCTGGGCACTTAATTTTACAAATTCAAAGTTCTGTGTCCTTACTATGGGGAAGAATCAAATGTAGTCTGAGGCAGACTCTGTTCATGTGGATGCGCTACCTCGGACTCAGAGCCCGAGGAAGCACTCTGGGGAGCTGCAGGAAGCCTCCTGGAGGCCAATTAGTTCAAATTAGCGGCACCAGAACATCTACACTGTTATTTCAGACACACAAGTTTGGGAATAGGGCTATTCCTCATGAAAAGCAGGACTACAGAGTTCAAATTCCATGGCCCCTTATCACAGACTAACAGGCCTGGAAGTGTGGATGTATCACTTAGAAAATCAAACTTGGGGGGAGGCCTAATTTCACACTAAGGTCCTAGTGTAGACCAGGCCTGTGAAAATGATAGAATCCTAATTCATGTCACTAGTGGTCTTGCAGAAGATCCTGCTTTCACGGAAGTAAACTATCATCTCATAATAATTACTATTATAAAGTCAGGAGCTATGCACGGTGGCATTACTCCTGCATCTGGACCTGTGTAGCTATGTATCCTTATGCCTGAGCAAAATGGCTAATAGCCGTAGGCGAGTAAAATGGTGAAGGCCTTTTTGGGCAATACCCAGAGTGGTTTACAAGGGAAAAAATAATTAAGATTTTGTATTTAGATATTTTTAAACAAGTGTACTTACATTGTCAACTTGCATTAAGGTTTAAATGTACTGTAAAAGTTATTTCAATTAAATTTAAAAATAGTATTATGAAGTTTTAAAAGACGGTCAAGCCATTGAACTGGTGAAAGTCACTAGCTTAGCATCTGGAATCAGATTTTATTCAAGTGCTAAATCATTTCACTTTATTCATATAGCGCAGTTC